CCCATGATTGTGCTGCCGCCGGACTTTTTGTCCACTTAACTCTACTTTAGAACACATACTCATTTTGAAATCATGAAAAATGTAACCCTGATGTACTTTATTAAAATCAAAACATAAATCCTCTGATGTTAAATCAAAAGGAAATCAGGGAGACTCACCTCTCCTCAAACTTGACCTTGGCCTCCCGCCTGGCTTTGCGTTTGAGAGCTGGATCCCTGAAGACGTCCTTGTTCACAACAGTTTTGTCCAGAGGAATATCCACAGAGTATCTGAAGGAGTAAAAACATGTTAAAGACTTTTTTTTTTATTGACACCAATGGCTGACTGCAGCTCGCTCTGCTGAGCACCTTCATACCTGTAAGATATGAACAATCAGTATCGCTTTACTAGCTTCCAGATTCATAAATTACAAATGGATCATAAACCTGCTCAATGTTCAAGTCGACGTTCTCCCCTCAGCGTTGCATCAAGTTTGTTCAACGTTACACTGAATCAGACACATCAAGCACTTATGGCAGCCTGTGTGGGTGAAAAGCCACTGATGTCAACCAGCAACTAACTGCTGTTTGATAAAAATGACTCCTCTTGTTCAACATTGTTCTACAAATTACAGTTTGATCACATCTTCGATCAACAGCTGAACATCACATATTCCTGCATCAGAGCAGCAGCAGGATGACTGTCAGACCTCTTTATACCTCAGTCTAAAAATGAAAGTCACTGGAACAAAATATAACTGGCCCACATTCTGAAAACCAGGCCCCAGTTAAGAAATAAATAAATAAAAAAATTAAGCAAAATCTCTTTTCGTCATCAAGATAAAGTTCTATAGTTTTTATAGGTTTTGGGCACCAAAGATGTCTGAAGAGCATCTGTTCAGATAAAGTGACGGCAGCGTTTAACAGACCTATTTATGCACTTAAAGGGATCAGTCATTTTACAGAGCAAAACAGCTGTCCTAAAAAAAAAAACAGACTACTTTTTGCTTAAGTGGCTCGTTCACCCTGAAGTAGTAACAATTATTCAGATCAAACACATAAGGCAAGTCAAGCGTGTTGGTCGTTTAAAACAAGTGGATCCAAAAAAAGAAGAAGCAAAGAACAGCTGTTAACAGCTGGAAAGGACAAAAAGCAACCAAAACATCTCCAGTAATAAAACTTTGATCTGAAGACACCACACATCCCAGCTCTCTGCTTAAATAACTGCAAGCAATATAATATTTAAACTTCTAATGAATGCAGTTCAGATTCAGACACGCACTGTATTTATTTGCACCTCACCGAGTTTGATGGGTCGATTTATGATTATGAGACTCAAACTGTGTCATTACACAAGTTTCACAATATTGATTATCTGTAAATGTCTTCGCAGACACATAAATAATAATGGGAAGAACACCGTGTCAGATTTCAGCCCATAGATGTGATTGGATTTTTGAAAGAAGAATAACCAGCCTCCTCAATTAAACTCAAAACATTTAATCAACCAGATGTTTTT